GAAATCCATTCGCTAGAAGTATGGAATACACCAACCACTCCAATTAGGAACGACCTGCCGTTGAACTTGAATTGTCCAATTTCTCACACCTATTGATTTCGGATCGACCCCAAAACTTGGGCAACCGCATAATATGGTGGGAGGAGTCATTTGGTATGTTTTGAGTGAAATCCAATCGCCAGAACAATAAATTACACCAACCACCCCAATTTGGAACGAACAGCCTTTGAACTTCAATTGTCCAATTTGTTACACCTATTGATTTCGGATTGAGCCCAAAACCTTGGCAACTTCATAATGTGGTGGGAGGAGTCATTTGGTGAGTTTTGAATGAAATCCAACCGCTAGAAGTATGGAATACACCAACCACACCAATTTGGAACAAACTGCCGTTGAACTTGAATTGTCCAATTTCTTACTCCTATGGATTTCGGATCGAGCCGAAAACTTGGGCAACATCATAATATGGTGGGAGGAGTCATTTGGGGAGTTTTCAGAGAAATCCATTCGCTAGAAGTATGGAATACACCAACCATTCCAATCAGGAACGGAATGCCGTTGAACTTGAATTGTCCAATTTCTCACACCTATTGATTTCGGATCGAGCCCTAAGCTTGGGCAACATCTTAACATGGTGGGAGGAGTCATTTGATTTGTTTTGAGTGAAATCCAATCACCAGAACTATGAATTACCCCAACAACTCCAATTTGGAACGAACTGCCTTTGAACTTGAATTGTCCAATTTCATACACCTATTGACTACGGATCGAGCCTAAAACTTGGGCAACATCACAATATCGTGGGAGGAGTCATTTGGTGAGTTTTGAGTGAAATCCAATCACTAGAAGTATGGAATACACCAACCACTCCAATTAGGAACGACCTGCCGTTGAACTTGAATTGTCCAATTTCTCACACCTATTGATTTCGGATCGACCCCAAAACTTGGGCAACCGCATAATATGGTGGGAGGAGTCATTTGGTATGTTTTGAGTGAAATCCAATCTTGAACGAACTGCCTTTGAACTTCAATTGTCCAATTTGTTACACCTATTGATTTCGGATCGAGCCCAAAACCTTGGCAACTTCATAATGTGGTGGGAGGAGTCATTTGGTGAGTTTTGAATGAAATCCAATCGCTAGAAGTATGGAATACACCGACCACTCCAATTTGGAACAAACTGCCGTTGAACTTGAATTGTCCAATTTCTTACTCCTATGGATTTCGGATCGAGCCGATAACGTGGGCAACATCACAATATGGTGGGAGGAGTCATTTGGTGAGTTTCGAGAGAAATTCATTCGCTAGTAGTATGGAATACACCAACCATTCCAATCAGGAACGAAATGCCGTTGAACTTGAATTGTCCAATTTCTCACACCTATTGATTTCGGATCGAGCCCAAAACTTGGGCAACATCTTAATATGGTGGGAGGAGTCATTTGGTTTGTTTTGAGTGAAATCCAATCGCCAGAACAATGAATTACCCCAACTACTCCAATTTTGAACGAACTGCCTTTGAACTTGAATTGTCCAATTTGTTACACCTATTGATTTCGGATCGAGCCGAAAACCTGGGCAACTTCATAATATGCTGGGAGGAGTCATTTGGTGAGTTTTGAGTGAAATCCAATGGCCAGAAGTATGGAATACACCAACCACTCCAATTAGGAACGAACTGCCGTT